TTTTTTTTGAGACAGGGTGTCACTGTATCAACCAGGCTAGAGTGCAGTGGCATGATCTCAGTTCACTGCAACCTCCACACTCACCAGGCTCACGTGATTCTCTCACCTCAGCCTCCCAAATAGATGGGATTACAGGTGTGCGCCACCATGCCCAGCTAATTTTTATATTTGTAGTATAGATGGGGTTTCACCATGTTGGCCAGGCTGGTCTCAAACTCCTGACTTCAAACGATCTGCCCACCTTGGCCTCCCAAAGTGCTGGGATTATGGGCATGAGCCATTGCACCCAGCCTTTCTCTTTGCTTTCTGCGCAGAAAGGACAGACCTTAGGACCAATCATGAGTTAATAGTTTTTGGCCAGTTTTTAAAGGTGAGCCAGTGCACTAAGGTTTTCACAGGTGTTATCCCATTCAGTCCTCAAAACAAGCCTAAGAATTAGAGACTGCTATTATTCCCATTTTAGAGATGACAAAACTGAGGCTCAGGGAGATTGAGAAACTTGTCTGCTATTAAATAGTAGAGCCATAATGAAACCCAGCAGACTAATTCTAGAGCCAGTTTCTTCTCAGGCCGACCCAACTGCATCTATGGGATTCTCCCATCAAATATCTGCCTACAGGTGGAAGAATGTGGAATGACTGCCAAGGGCAGGGCTCACTCCAACGCACGCGTGTGGAAGTGCAGCATTGCTTGGCCTTGATGTAGGTGTGCAGAGAGCCTAATGCACTTAAGTTATGTATAAGAACTTCAGATCTTGTCAAAAACCAGCTATAGTTAAAGCAATATTAACTATTACTTGTTATACCACTTCCATGTTGCAGGCTCTTTACGCATATTGCCTCTAATCCTTACAGCAATCCCATGTTAGGATAACTTCATGGCACATGAAATTCATGGTAACTCCATAAAGTTACCCCAAATTTACAGCTGATGGCAGTGAGACTTTGTGAGGTCAAGTGACTTGCTCAGGCTCACACAGAGAATAAGTAGCTAAGCTGGGATTCACTCTGTCTTCCTTGTTCCCTACCGTTTGCTTCTTACTGGCAACTGTAAGGGCAGAAACCTGGTGGTGGAGGATCGAGGGGGACTGTAGTTCCGCTCATCCCCTGGGCCTGTGTGGACCTACAGCATTTGGTATACGGGAACAGATTGGGTAGGAACACAGTGAGCTTTGAGTGTGGCCAGAGGGAAGATTGATTCTAAAGTCAACTTGAGCATGAACGGCAAACTTAGGCTCTGCTTTCCCTCTCAGTTAAAAAAAAAAAATCTCAGACTCTGCTGTTTGACAGGCTGGTATAAAAAGAGACAGGAGATGTAACTTTCAGTCCCTATTCTGTCACTAACACACTGGGACCTGCAGCTGTTCCTTCCCACCTGGGCCTGTTTTCCCAAAATGCCCAATGAAAATGAGGAACTAGATCAGTGGCGTTTAAAACTTTTTTTTTTTGGTGGTATAGGGGTAGACAGCAAGCCTTTTTTTTCAGATAGAAAGTTACATAGGACAACATACAAACTTCTTTCAAGAGCAGCTGCTTTAGTTGATTTAGGCCCAGAGCCTGGAACCCTGTCCCCTTGGCCTCCATGCTGTCCCCCTGCTGACCCTCCCCTGTGACTGCCACGGAGGCATCCCCACCTATGCTGGGACTTGGAAGATCCCAGGTCAACAGCAGGGACCATGTGGCTTCCTATGCATATAGCATGTGCACTGGCCATGGCTTTTATGGAATGTTCCCTGTATAGAGAGTCTCATAAAGGGATGTCCAGAGATTCAGGACCTTCTCAGTTCTCCAGGCCTATTTGTCAGGGCCTGGGGTCATGGGCATGCTGTTGCCAAGCAGGTCTGAACGCTTATGCATGGGTGGTAGGGTCTGAGTTCCAAAGGGAAATTCCCACTCACTCCCGGGTGGCATGTGGTGTGAGGCGTGGAGAGAACGAGAGGTTTTATTTGCAAGTTCAGATGATATTGGCTTAGCCTCCTTCAGGGATCCTGGAGAGAAAGAGCAGGTTTGGAGTTGTGTATGGGTCTCAGTTCAGCCACACACAGTAGCTATGTGGCCTTAGGCAAGTTACTATCCTTTCTGGGTCTCTGCTGTATGATCTGGAAAACACAAATAATGCAACCAGGAGCAATGGCTCACACCTGTAATCTCAGTACTTTGGGAGGCTGAGGTGGGCGGATCATGAAGTCAGGAGTTCGGGACCAGCCTGATCAACATGGTGAAACCCCATCTCTACTAAAAATACAAAAAATTAGCTGGGTATTGTGGTAGGCGCCTGTAATCCCAGCTACTCAGGAGGCTGAGGTGGGAGAACTATTTGAACCCAGGAGGTGGAGGTTGCAGTGAGCTGAGATCAAGCCATTGCACTCCAGCCTGCATGACAGAGTGAGACTCCATCTCAAAACAAACAAACAAAGCCCCACAAATAATGAAGAGGATAGTGATAATCCTGCTGTGTGCGGAGTCTATGTAAGTGCCTCTCATGCATTACATCAGCAAAGCCACATGATAACCATATTAGGTAGGCACTGTATCATCCATTTTGGCAAGCAGGAAACCGAAGCATAGAACAGCTAAGCGACTTGCCCAAGTTCACACAGCTATAGCTATCAAGTGGCATAGCTAAGAAGCAAACTCATGTTTATCAGACTCCAAAGGCTACATTTTCATCTGCAACATTATCCCACCTTCTTCAAACAAAACCTGCTTCAAAGGGCTGTTTTCAGCATCATGAAAAACAATCTAAGTGATAATCACAGAGTTGGCGTATAGTAGGTGCTCAGCAAATGTGTTCCCTTTCTGTTCTTCATCTCCATGCTAACCAAAAGTCCCCGCAGGCTTGAAGGAGTTGATGATTGTTTACGAGCTCCTTTCTTTCTAGCAGGTGAAAATAGGGAAAGAGAAGAGAATTCTGTCCGATCTCAGAATAAATGAACTTTTTTTCCAAACAAGCTATTTTTTTTTTTTNCCCAGCTACTCAGGAGGCTGAGGCAGGAGAATTGCCTGAACCCAGGAGGCGGAGGTTGCGGTGAGCCGAGATCGCGCCATTGCACTCCAGCCTGGGTAACGAGTGAAACTCCGTCTCAAAAAAAAAAAAAAAGTAATTTCAATTTATCTTTTTGATGGCAGTTTATACTATGATAGAATCCAGGTCAAAAACCTTAAGCTTAAAATACATACTGATAAATTTTCTTCTTCCCTAAAACAAGACAGGAAAAAATCTGAAAGGTTTTGTGTAAGTTTGTTTCTACTGTTTTAGTTGCATTCTCTCGTAGGCAATTGCTTTGTAAATCGAGAGGGACAGAGTTCATCTCTAAAACCTCTTATACAAATTAGGAAAAAGTGTACCTGGGTGGTAACAAATCTAAGGTAGAGCAAAATCTTAAAAAAACCAACATTTTTTTTGGCTCCTAGACCACTTTATTTCACTTTCCAGCATTCAAAGAAATGTGATCTGCAAAAAACTAGATACAAAGTCCTTTTACTTCTTTACAAACTACTGTTAGTTCTCAATGAGTTTACATGCCTCACTTTTTATTCCAAGAAAAATCCCCATTGTGCAATACAAGGGTGTAATAGCTGTTACAAATACACAGAAACATAATAAAGATAACCAACACTGTTAGAGGAAGGAGCAGAGGAAAAAATCTGAGAAGGAACCTTTTCCACAGTGACCAGCAGAATGTCTTGTAGGTATCAATAACTGAAGACAAAACACATTGCTCACTTCACCCTATTTATCAAGTCATCCTACCTAAAATGACAACAGTTCATGCCTGGGACTTCTACAGGTTTTGCTAGTCCTCCTTCCTAGTAAAATGCCATTAGATTATTCCTAAGCTATTGCTCAAGTCACAGCCTCCCGAATATATTCTTAGGTTTTGTAAACAAGAATATGGTCAAAATGCAATACAATGGAAAATCGCTACAAGAGAATGAGATTTGGAAAGCCATGCTTAGAGTCTCCGAGCCACACAGCCGTGAGATCTTGGATTATATTTAATCTCTCACCCAGGAACATTATCCATTTACCTTGTAAAGTTGTGAGGAATGAACATATGCAAGATGCTATCACATGGTGGGACAATTTTCTCATCTGTAAAATGGGAATAATACCCACTTCCCAGGAGTGTTTTTAGAATTAAATATTTGAAAAGCACAGGGTTTGGCACAATAAGTCCTCAACAATATTGACAGCATTCAATATAAAGAGAAACAACCACAGAAGAGATCCGAAAGCAATTCATTCAACAGATGCAAAAATTAAAGGTCCTTTTCTGACTTACAATATTTTAGAGAACTACCAACTATTGTTATTGTATTTATATATGTATTCACCTATTTTTAAACAAAATCCCAACTCAATATGCAACTTAATTCTCCCCCTTAAATGTCTTAATTCAAAAGGAAATGGAGAAAGAAGGGAGGTAGAGGGCAAAAAAGGTTTATGAACTCTACGTATTCTTTTAAAAATACAGAGAACCTCTATCCATAAGAACCACCCACTATGTTAATGAGTGTGTAACTGTATACAACAAAATACTTTTTGTAATTAAATCTAGTCATTTTGGCTCTAAGTAAATTCTAGTTCCCATTATATCAATTTTACTATCTCCATGAAAATAAAGCTATAAAAACATTTCCCCGTTTGATTAAACAACAACAAAAATATAACAAAAGATGAAGCAAGTGAAAAAATTATGGACTTTAACCTAAGATCTGACACTTGCTGTGTGATCCTGGGCAAGTTCAAAAAAAAATTATAAAATAAAATACAGACAAAAGTACTATTTCATACCTCCCTTGAAAATATACCTCTGCTGTATTTTCAAAATTGCTATAAATTAAAAGCTTAAACTCCACTTCCAGATTTTTTGTTAATAATTTTACATGGAAAGTTTTAAATATGTGGCAAAAAGAAGACAAAAATCAAACATGATGGAATCAATGCATAGGTAAAGAAACATCCTAATAAGAAACTAAGGAATCCAAAACATTTCGTGATACTATAAAAGTTATTTATTCACTATACACAGAACACGTCCCCTATAAAATGTACATGTAAATCACTAAAAAGTATAATTTGGTGAACATTGTTTCAATTACAGAACACACTAAATCAGTTGGGATAACAGCTGTCTGCCTCAAAATAATCTAATTATAGCACCCAGTATCCTTTATATCTAATGCAAAGTTAAATACTTATTTTGGGGGTTATTTCCTAGTATGTGTTTGGTGAGGCAGAGTGAGCACTTTAATATAACTCTAGTATATTACAGTCACTGCACAATAAACCAGTTTATTACAGATTAAAACAAATCATTTTTTCGTTATTTGTAATATTGGGATCAAACAAATACTGGATACTTTTAAATGCCAGAATAACCACATAATTACTTATTCTTGATAGCATATCGGGTTCTATAATTACACTGATATGAATGGTGTAAAATATTGTTACGAATAATATACCTCAAACAAAACAACGAGGTGATACTGTAATGATTCACTAGATTGTGCTCAGTAGACATTTACCAAATAAGGGAATTATCTATTTTTCTCCTCAATTATCCAGTACAATGATTTGCCCATAGTAAGGGCTCAATAAATATTTGCTGAACATATTGACTAGTAAAGAGGTGAGAAGAGATGGGCCCTCTTAGCTGGATGTCAAATGTAATTCGAATTTACCTGGGAAGGAGAGTAGTTAAGGAAGATGTAAACTGCCATGTGGTGTACAAGTAATTAAATGCAGATGCCAACAAAGCAAATGATTAAGCAGAAAACACTGGCACCAAAATAAACAAAGGCAAGATTTGCCAATAATGGCGAAAATGGAACTTTTATATTGGACCATACCTTTTCCCACCCAATTCAGTTTGAGACAGACCAACAGAGGCACCGTAAGAGACTATGGCTGTCTTCCTTGATATTCAGACATCCTATTTTCCAATAATTTGTTATGGATCTGGTACCCACGAATCAATATAAACCTATTCATATTTAGGGATTAGTTTCCACAAGTACAAAGTTGAATTTCCTTTTATTTGTCCTAAAATGCTTACTTTCAAACTTGAAGGGACTTCAATTATTCCATGTAGTTTTCGATAACATTCTTTTATCTTTTCAGACCAGAGTCAAAATATTCGTACAGTATTCATACTGCAGCACCTTCCACCCACCCTTTGGTCGCTTGAACTGCCCTTCTTTGGTTCTTTTTCCACTTTCAGATCTTTCTTGATGTGTAGTAAGCAGAACTGTACTGGGTATTCCAGCTGCAGTTTGGTCTATCATTGTCGGAATGGCTTCTGCTACGCCGTGGTCTTCCAGTCGGTCTATTTCTGGGACTATACAATCTTCTATAGTTGTAATCAAAAGACCGGCTTCTTGATCTCCTTCTTTCGTAACTTCGGCTTCTTGAACGTCTGTATCTGTCATAATCATCATAGTGTGAAGAACTGTACACATTCCTCCCTTCCTTGGCTTTTATCTGATTTGGTGTCTTCTGATCCCCCTGGGCAAACTGTATTCAATCTGCCGTCCACAAATCCACTTTCTGTCCGAGTTATGTAAAGCATCTTCAGCATCACGAACATCCTCAAATTGAACATAAGCAAATCCTCTTGGACGGCCAGTGTAGAATAGAAATCAAGTGGAACATACACATCAACTATAGGACCATAACGACCAAATTCACGCCGTAAATCTTCAGACCTGGTGTCGTCGGCCACGTTCCTGACAAACAGAGATGTGTTTGGGGGACGCAGGTAGCGAGACATGGCGGCGGCGTGTCTTGGCCAGGCGTACTAACGGGTTCAGCAAACCAACCCAAGAGACAGGGTCTTGCTATGTTATCCAGGTTTAGTGCTGAACTCCTGGGCGTAAGTGATCCTCCTGCCTCAGTCTCCCAAAGTGATGAGATTGCAGGCGTTAGCCACTGTGCCTAGCCCAAATAAGCTTTTAAAATGAGTGTTTGCCAACTGTGTTCCATGGAATACTATTCCACATTGTTCTGTGTCAATGAAGTTTGGGAAATGCTACATCCTCAACCCCTCTCTTGAAGAGACCCATTGGACATTAGCATATTAAAGGCACTGATAAATCCTGCTGCAAAGAGTTCCACCTAATTTAGCTTAACCCTGACCACAGCCATAATACATATTAGCATCTTTTTCTAAAGAATACTCATGGAAGATAAGCTGATTCTTATCAATTAATACACATAAGGCAATTAAAGGCCAGAGAGCTTTGGATTTAGAGTTTAGGTCACACAGCTATCCAGTGGTGAATACTTTTGTACATGAAGACTTATTCTCAAATCCATTACTGAGATGCAGGGTAGAGTGGCAAGTAGAAGAAGGAACCTCAGGTCAGATAACCAGAGTTTATGTCTCGCCTCTACCATTCTTTAGCCTTGTGACCTTGAGCAGTTTGCTTAACCATCCGAGGCCTCAATCTCCTCATCAGTTACATGAGGTAATATGATACATACCTCATGATGCTAATTTGGGGATCCAGTGAGTTAATACATGGAAAGTATTTAGAACAGCACCAGGCATGAAGTCAGTTATTGGTATGCCTGTTGCAGTTTTGCATAAAAGGAAGTCCACCTGAGTATACGCGGTACCGAAGTCCTGCTGTCTGAGAATGCCTGCTGCTTGCCAGGGCTCACAGGGACTTGCTGGAGGGAGGCCAGGCCTTGGCTGGCAGCTCTAGGGAGGCCTGTTTTCCAGCCAAAGCTCCCAGGAGCTAAGTGCTCCTATCCTCCTCCCCGACCCGCTCCAGGGCCAGGCCTCGTGGTGCTGCCAGATTGGACGACATCCACATTTCTGTTTCGTCTCCCTGTCTCCTAAGCCCAGAGGAGTCCTGGTTGGAATTGCCAGTTTGTGAGGCTAGATAGGTCTGGAAGAAGGAGCCGAAAGAAGCAGTACAGCATCCTACAAGCAGCACCGGCTTTTGAACCAGACAGTCCTGGCACCAAACCCAGGCTATACACTTCCCAGTTGCATAATTTTGGCCAAGTTACTTAATTCCTTTGAGTCTCAGTTTCTTCATTTGTAACATGTGCATAATAATGGTACCTACTTCCTAAGTGTGCTGTGAAGTATGAGTAACAGCTAATGTTTACTATTTGCTTACTACATGCTATGCACTGTTCTAGCAGCCAGTGATAGCTAATGTCATAATAGACAAAATATCTGGCTTTATGGAGCTTAGTTCTAGTAATAGAAGGGGTAGATATGCCACAAATAAGTAAATTAGAAAATAGAATGTAATAATGGATATAGAGAAAGTAAAATATGGTAAGGGTCAGAGAATGAATAAAATGGTCTGGGAAGGCCTCACTGAGGTGGCGATATTTAAACTGAGATCTGATTGATAAGGAGTGAACTGTACTTAACAATCTGGGGGAGCAGCCTTCCAGACAGAGGGGACAGCTAGGCCAAAACCCCTGAGGTGAGAATGAGCTTGGTTTGCTGGAGGGACAGAAAGAGGGCCCTTATGATGGGGAGGGAGAGAATAGTATAAGATAAAATTATCCATCCTTACTATACACTCAAACAAATGAAGACCTATGTCCACACAAAAACTTGTACATGAATGTTAGCTCATAGCAGCATTATTTATAATAGCCAAAATATGGCAACATCCCAAATATCTATCAACTGATGAATAAATAAACAAAATGTGGCACATCCATGCAATGGCAGCCACAGAAAGCAATGAAGTACGAGACGCACCATGGGAGGCGTGGATGAGCGTTGAAAGCACTATGCTAAGTGGAAGACACCAGACACAGAAGGCCACATATATGATTCCATTTCTATGAAATCTCCAGAAGAGGAAAATCAAGAAAGGCAAAAAGTAAATGAATGTCCCCAGGGGCTGAGGGGAGTGGAGAATGGAGAGTGACTGCTAGGGGGGACCCTTGTTTTGGGAGTAAGAATCTTCTGGAATTAGTAGAAATGGTCGCACAACTTTGTGAAGATACTAAAAACCACTGAATGATATACTTTAAAAGGATAAACTTCATGGTAAGTGGATTATATCTCAGTCTTTAAAAAAAAAATCAGAGGGCTAGGAGGGCCAGCTTAGAATTAAACTGGAGACTGGGGGTGGTACCACTGTTATGCCACATTATGGAGGAGGATCCTAACAGAGAGAAAAGATAAGCAACTTGCGGGGGGCCACGCAGCTACAGATGGGCTGAGCCTGGCTTCAGAGCCCATTCTTTTATGTAAAATATTTCTGTAGCACGGGGGCTGGTATCCATCCATAGAAACTCAATATATGGGGCTAGGGTTTCAGTTTGCCGATTCCCTCCCCTCACTGAGATGCATCCTTCCCACCTGCCTCGTTCCAAGCAGAGAGACTAAGGACCTGCGTTCCTAAGTTCCTTTGCGCACTATTCACAGAGAATAGGGCACAAATGTTAAGTGTGTCCTTCCCTTTTGGGCAAGTCTACAGCAGCGACAGCCACAGCCTCCTCGGCTGCTCATTAACTCTCTGCCAACACAGTCACACTGGAAATTCTGGTTTGCGGGTCGGGCCTAGATAAGGGACCCCAGAGGAATCCAGAGCGTGGGGTAAGCTTTCTTCAGGCCTGTCGGGTGAGGCGGAGGGTTAAGCTGTCCCTCTGCTACCTAGGGCCTCCGCCCAGCCAGCGCGAAGGGGGATGGCCTGATGTGCAAGGGCCTGCAGGGCTGGGCAGAGCTCCGCCCACCAGGGCGAGGGCACAGCCGCCGCCTCGGGATTCGCTGCACACAAAGGCGCTGGCCCATAAAAAGCCACGCCTTTTTAAACAGTCGCGCTAAAGCTCAAGAAGTGATCATTACCTGCATTTTGCTCCCCATAGAAAAAAATGTAGCTGTTTGTTTGCAGCCAGCCCAGTAAATACGCTGGTGCCTCCCTTTCTCGAGGCCTGCATTTCCAGAAAGCCTGCGCTGATAGAGCGGTCTGACCTTTAGTTAAACCCCAACAGAACCAGGAATAAGTAGTCTTTATTTTAAGGAAGGCCCTCACTAGTAATTTTTAACTTTTTAGGAGCTCCAGATCCCTTTAAGAATCTGACAAAAAGGGTCAACACTTGCCCAGAAAGAGGCACACACCACTTTTGCACTGAATTTCAGAAGGACACACAGATCAATAACCCTTGGCTTTTGGCCAAAGGGGGGAAACATCCTATATTTTTGAATGCACTTTTTTTTATTGAGGCAGAACTTCACAGAATAGTGCACAAATGTTTGGTGTGAAGATCAGTGGGTTTTCATATACGCATACATTCTGCCATTCAGATAAGATATGGAACATTTCCAGCCCTCAGAATGACCAAAAGAAATTTTGGCTTTTTTTTTTTTTTGAGACACATTTTCCCTCTGTGGCCCAGGCTGGAGTTCAGTGGCACAATCTCGGCTCACCGCAACCTCTGCCTCCCAGGTTCAAGTGATTCTCCTGCTTCAGCCTCCCTAGGAGCTGGCTTTATAGGCACATGCCACTACACCCAGATAATTTTTGCATTTTTAGTAGAGAGGCATTTTGTCATGTTGGCCAGGCTGATAGCCATCCAGAAATTACATATACATACCACAACACGGAGTCACATTATACAGCTTTTATTTCAAGCTGCTTTTCTCCTAGCAACGTGCCTTAGAGACTTTTTCATGTTAGTACATTTAATATACTTATTTTTAGAATACTGCATCCTTTTAGGATAATGTACAAATATTCCTAGCTCATTTAGTTACGTTTCTACTGATTATCAGTAGAACAGGCTGTTTCCAGTTTAAATATTATAAACTCTGCTGTGTGGACGTTACCTCTTTACACATGTCTGTCTCTGTAGGATAAACTCTGCAAGTGGAATTGTTGGGCTACAGGATAGAACGATTCAAAAGGCCTCTGGTAGGCTGAATATTCACAATCCCCACCCATATCTTGATTCCTGAAACCTGTAAATTTGTTACCTTACATTGTAAAACAGATTTTGTAGATGCGATTAAGTTAAAAATCCTGAGACAGGGAGAGTACCCTGGGTTTTCCAGGTGGATCCAATGTAGTCACAAGGGTCTTTATAAGTGGAAGGCAGGTGGGTTGGCGTCAGTGGGAAAGGTTACGAGAGGACGGGAGTGAGGATGGAGGTGATGCAGTCAAGAGCCAACAGCTTCTAGAAGCAAGAAACAGAAACGAGTTGTTCTCTGGTGCTCCAGAAAGAACCAGCTTTGCCGACACGTTGATTCTCGTCTGGTGACTAAGAGACTTATGTCTTTTTGTGTGCATAATTGTAAGTAATACGTTTGTGTTGCTGTTAAGTTCGTGGTAATTTGTTACATCAGCGTTAGGAAACAGGGCTGCATCCGCTCTCATTTTTACCAAGACAATAGGAGGGTGCTGGGGTTCCAAATCTTGGCCAAAGTTCCCAAATAGACTCTTTAAATGTTGCCAGTTTAGAGCAGAAGTTTGAGAATGTGAGACTGTCTGCAACTCAGTGTTTTCTGAAGAAGAAAAGCAAAACACATATATATGTGCCTGTAATTTGAGAGTGCTAATGGACCCCTTAAGGTTAGAGGCTTTTTTTTGGGGGGGGGGTTTCTGGTTCCCCTTCCCTTGCCATCTCCCCCAAGGCAGGCTGTGGTTCACATCCATGGTTCCAGGGCAGGGATAGTCCTTAGAGGTCACTTGGGGTACTATGCTCATTTTAAAAATAAAAAGGCAGAAAAGGTAGAAAAGCTGGGACGGGATGTGAGTTTCATGACTCCCAGTGCAGTGTAGTTTTTTGTTTTGCCTGTACATCCTCCTCAGCAAGGGAGGAGGAAATGTGGGTCTGGGCTGAGGTTTGGGAGACCCCTCATGTCACAGGTGAGTCCAGTTTTAGGAAGCACTCAACCCCAGGCGGTAAAGGCCTCCCGCAGGCTCGTCTTCCCCTCTGCTGGGGAGGGAGATGCACACATACAAGACCTATCCAGAGACTCCTGGCCTCAGGCGT